AATATCTCGGATTCTTCGCTCGCTCGGTGATACTTCGCATTTGAAATCTTTGAATCTTGGCCCGCCAAGTGACATTTCGAATTTGAAATCGCGGTAATACTCGCCCCGAAAGACGATACTCTCTTTGGGATACCTCGAACGTCTATCTAGGATTAAAAAAAAAAAAAGTACTGCGAAACGAGGCGCGTACCTTTCCCATATTTCGAATTTGCGGAATGTATCGCCCGCCCCCTTCTTATCTCGCTTCTGAAAATCTCGGCGATACTCGGCCCACAAGACGATATTCTTTTTGGATACCTCGAACACCTCTCTTGGGTAGAAAAACGGCGAAACGCGGCGCGCACTTTTCCCCCTCGGTCGGAGACGACCGTGCCCCTCGCCGCGGTAGGCGAGGCCGGCCGATCGATCCTCGACGAATCTTAATTGCCGCCGATATATAAGAGCGAAGGTGAGGTTAGGCGTTAGCGGTTGGTAGGGGGTGCGGGAGGAAGAGGGGGGCGATCCGGGTGCGCCACACCTCGAATTCGCGCCCGCCCAGGCATTCCGAGGAGAGCGGGCGCCCACCTTGCCCTGCACTCGCCGATCCCGAAGAGTGTGACCAGGTGATCGCCACCTCCCTTTTCTACATTGTCGTTTGTTCCGCGACCGGGACGGGTACTCGCGGTTTTCCTGGATCCCCGTTGCGCGTATGTCCGTAAAGCTGGCGTTACCACTTTAGCACAATTCAATAAAATTTATTGCTCTTATACTTTATCGAAAAGCGTTGGCGATGTCAGCTTTATATTAAGCATTGCCACGTTATAGGAACAATAATAATGCAAATGTTCACAGTTGACGTGTACGTAAGAATTTATTGCTAATTAATTGGACTCGTGGAATAACCAAACTTCGACTCTTTTATTCACCTCACCACTTAAAAAGGTATGCCACCACCTCTAGGGCCGGTAGCAGCATGACGACGTTGGAAAAGACTGATTTCTGGATAGCAACTAATTATCAGTTACTTTTGTTCATGGCTGCGGCGATGTCTTAGAAGCAATTAATTAGCAATAAAGTCTCCCGCGAAGAAATCAGTCGTCTCCCACCGTTTACATGTTGTCATACTGCTACCGGTCCTAGGGGTGGCGACATACCCCTTCAGGGGTGAATAAAATAATCGAAGTCTGGTTTATCCGCGAGGAATTAATTAGCAATAAATTCTGGCGTATACGTCAACTATGAACATTTGCTTTATTATCGTTTTTATAACCTGGCAATGCTAATTTAACATAGATCTGGCATCGCCAAAGTTTTTCGAAAAGGTACAAGTGCAAATGATTTCACTCTCGCGCAATAAAATGGCAATAAATTAGCAATAAATTTGCTTTAAATTTCATTGAATTGCGCTAAAGTGGTAATGCCAGCTTTATGGACATATTGCGCGTCCACCTATACGTCGTATTGCGGCCGTAATGTTATCAACGCCATCCGCTTTATCGACCGCCGCGCACCTGAGAGTAAATCGGGGGTTCACCGAACCGCGAGATCCTCCGTATTTAGTAAAACCGTTCCCCAAGGTACGGAGAGGTGAAATTTAGGGGGGGCATTTCGCGGCGGTTACCTATGGGGGGATCTCGATTTCGGTCCACTCCTCCGGCCGGCGTTTCCGCCCCCGGAAGCGGTTCCGCACCCCTCTCGCCTCTTCGCGGCCGCGTCGGACCGCGATAACGGGTGCCCTACATTGCGGCCAACTGAGCGGTTAGATAACCGCTCTCTCGCGAACCACTGGCCAATATTTACCTACTCGGGCTCGCGATCGCAACGGCTGGCGGGTCTGCTTGCCGACCCGCGCGGTTTCGTATAATAAACGCTCTAATAATCATTTTTAATTAACGATGAAGTCAGCGGCGATTTAAGTCACTCGCCGCCCGGGGCGCGGAATGATTTTGCGGACCGCTGATTAGAAATACCGAGACGGCGAATAATGCCGCGCGAAGTTAACGGCGGGATTTTTTTTTTTTTTAATGTCATTCTTGTTCATTGAATTTCGACGTTAATCAATGGGACGTTTTACGTTTATGTCGGTGACCTGTGGCTATCTAGGCCCAGATTATTTAGAAACGTTTCAGATTGTATAGTTGAAGTTTGACTGTTATTTGTTTCCAATTTTTTTTTTTTTCAATTCACTTCCAAACATCATACTTTGAATAACCAAACTCGATTAACTAGAGAGTCATGCCGATTCTAATTAATATGCCAGTAATTAATCGTAATAAATATCTGTTTGGTATATCAAAGTGAATCAATTAATTACTCTCATTGATTTAAATCGTTTATAATTCCGTCGCTTATACATTGTTATGGAGTTATACGTATATTTATTAAGCAAATTGTTGTCATTATTCTTAGACCATTCGTTTAATAATACACTGAGACTTCAGTGGAAGGTTAATAAAAATTTAAAAAAAATGTGTGCCCGGGTAACGCGGAAAATCTGCACGCCGGTTCTGGCCCGGTTGAATACCGCACGTAAGATTCGCAAACTTTAACCGTTAATAATTCAGTAAATAACCATCCGAGCGGAAAGTAAGGGAGAAACTTTCGACTTCAAGTATTGTCAACTTCCGACAGTTTCCGGGATTACCGCGAGTTCTGGGACCCGGTGAACATCCTCCGTTTATGGGTTGTCCTTCCTAGTTTCGAGGGCGATATGAGTTGCATTCTACTCCAATCGGAATTTACAATTAATATTTCAACTGTCAGAACCAACGCGGGCTCGATATTCTTCCATCCTTATTTTTTTCTTTCCCCCTCATTTCGAGTTCCGAAAAAACCGGCGGGTTCGAAAGTGACTTTTCACTGTACGCGCCGATCGGGATTAATCGACGCGAAACTTTCACGCCACGTGGACGGCTCCGAAAGTGTTGTGACATGTCACTTACCGGGGGTCTGGATTTCCGAAAAACTCGATAGCACCGGGCGCATTCCCACCGAAAAGAGTGATATTGCCCCACGGGGCCACGTGCCGACGTGCTGGAGCTCACGGCCCGCCGGTGGGGGCGGGGGCACGGGGGCAGAGGTGAAAGGCGCAAGGAGGCCGTACTCCTCGACTTACACGTACATGGATATACCGCTTTTAATTACGGAATCGACACTGCCAGCCATCGACTAGTGAAACTTTAAAGAGATCCGGAATCAGCGCGACACCCGCCGCACTTGCCGGTTACGGCGCGGGTTCGAAACCCGCCTTCTATTTTATCTTCTTTTTTTTCCCTTCTTTTCCATTCGCGTCCGCCTTGGGAGAAAGAAATAGACACGGAGGTAATCTTTGATCATTTTTATGTGGCTGTTTTTCATTTACGTCCACCTTGAGGGAGAGAGAAAGATCCGTGATCTCTGATTTTTTTTTCTTTTTCTTTTTCTTTTTCCTATGAGGGATATCACGAGGGATGCTAAGATTATTTCGGGAGGTTCAACGAATGACTATAGAGGGCTTTTATAGTGCCATAGACTTTTTTTTTATTTCATGAGACAGGAGGAGGTAACGCGACGGCTAGGATAAGGAGGACCGAGGCGACGTGAATTTTTGTACGTCCTATATGGCGTCATTAATGCCGAGGAGAGGCGCCGTTTGACGGCGCGGTTTATTGACGGAAATAAACCGCCTCGACCGGGTAATTAGGCTGGCTTAATCGCCGCTTACTCTCCTCCACGATTGACCCCGAGGATCGAGGAGGAAAACCTGGCTCGCTCGTGCGATTTCCTTCTTTCCTTTTCATATATTTCTTTTTTTTTTTCCTTTTTCCATCACACCAAACACCGTGCATCTCGTCTTGGAACGCTCCAGGGGGACCCGGGGATCTCGTGGAGTACTTTCCCGCGAGCACTTTTATAAATAGCGCCGACCTGAACGGAAGCGGCGCGTTTGGCCGCGACGAAACGGGCCGGATCGTCCCTCTCGTGTGCGCATGCGCGCGCGCTAATCGGGATCGAGCGATCGCCGCGAGCTATCGCCCGCCCGTCCCGCGGAGACCCGGGACACTTCCACGCAAAGGGAATTCCAAAAATCTCGAGTTCCGCCGTCTCGTACGCGCGTGCGCATTCGAGGTGCGATCGTTGAGGGTCGCTCGAAACGCGTTAGAGCCGCGGGCGTGATAAGAGCGCGCGAGTGATAACGTTAGCGCGCGGTGACGGAGCGAATCGCCGTAATGGAGTGCACGATCTAGCCGATGCACGTCGCTCGTCGAGTTTCCGTCGCGGTAACGTTGCTTTCGCGCTAGTTGCGTACGCGGGGGAGGGGATATGTGCCGATTCGCCGCTTCTCGCTGATAACCTGTATCAGGAGGAGCGGGAAGAGTCGAGTGGCGACTGACACCGGGAAATCCGATTCTCGTATAAATGTTCTCGTTAAACGGAGGAGTCTGGCCAGGTTGTCGTAACGCGTCGTTGCAACGCCTGGGACCGGGTAAGGCCAGGGTCACCCAATGCGTTTTTGCCGCACCGTACACAATGGGTTCTCTCGGCATCCGATTCCACGGGGGCAGCGGCGAAAACGCACGGGGTTATACGTCTCGCTTTAATTCGGGCGTTGTCGGGATTTTGACTTTTCTCGGTCTCGAAAGAACTTATAGGGTGACCCTCGAGGGGCTGTTCACTCGAAGATCAGTGAAAATGATCTCCTTCGACGAGAACCTATCGTTTTTGTTTCCGTATGATATACAACAATGCGATTCGGTAACAGGAGGCGGTCGGCCTTAACATTGTGGCTATTCTTTTCCTGATTTCTGCCTTGCGATATCCAGCTGATTTCCGCGGGACTTCCCGCAGTAAAATCCAGGATTTCCTGGGTGAATATCCCCCTCGGTGAGCCTGGTCTACCGGAAGTAAAACGTGGATGCTTGCGTGGGCATTCGCGTGAACGTTCGCGCGCGTACCATTCTCGCGGACGTGACCTCGAAACGCGGGGTCGGGAGGTCGGAAATCCCGGAAGAGAGACCCAAGGACTGGTGGGCTCGTTTCAGGGTCAGGTGCTGGAAGGAACGAGGACAGGAAGGAAGGAGGAAGCGATCGCCCGCAAGGTGGACGGAGGGTGGACCCTCGAGGAGAGGTCGAGGTCGAGGCGCGGAATGGCGCGAGCAGCGAGGTCCTTCACGGGGAAAGGCGTTATCAGCGGCTGCTAGCGGGCCGATATCCAGGAGGCCGATTTTACACCTCTCGCTGGCTGTCAGGATCTCGGCCGAAGGGAAGAGACTCGAGTCGACGGTAGCGCAGGTAAATCGACGCATCCTGGTTCACCTTGGTCAGTTCTGAGGTACCCTGCGCGAAAGAATCACTTTATCGGAAGAACACGGCAATTGGGTGGAATCGATCTTCGCTATCAACGAAATAAAGTGGTTTTAAATTAATTAGAATTGGTAATGATACTTGATTTTCTTCAATTCAGCTACCTCGAGTCCGTTTGACTCACTGTCGTTACATTTTCTGGGCATAAACGCGTTAGAGTGAAAAGTTCAAGGTATTCTTATAACAGACTGGGATTAAACAGAATTAACAGGGTGTCTGATATTTTTCTCAAACTTCTTGTAGCTTTGCGTGATATTCTTGCACGAACTTGAAACAACATTTATCTACCACGAATAATGTTTTATATCAAGTACTAAGTCGTTTGAGTTGCTTGGAACATTCTATACAAAATGTGGTACCATTTTAATTAACGCGTTTAATATTTCGGACCAATTTTGGAAGCGAAGTTCTTTTCGCAAAATCGTTTCCACTCGATATATTAACTTGCCATCGTCTGAGTCGCACCCCGATAATTCCTACAAAATCAATTTTACTGGAGTCAAGACTTTTTTTTTGTTGTTGACAAGAAATATCCTCACCCCTTCCGATAGTACGCCTCCGCTATATGGACACGAGAATCGCAAATACAGCGCTACAGTATGGATCGGTCACGATAAATATTCACCATATTCAAAAAGTCCAAAAGGGGCTAAATAAAAAAATTCTGCGAAAGTTACGAACCAATGCAAAATTGTAACTATGATTACCCGTAGGGCACAGCGAGCGGGCGATGTGGGAGACTACCGTTTCCGTTATATCGAAAGGGTCAATTTCGATTGGAACGTATATTTTCTGCCCACCGTAGTTTTTGTTTTCGATGCTCATCCCCATTTTTAATCTCTCTTCCAAACGAGCCTCGTACCGAAAGGGTTAATCTCGGCTGGAACGTACATTTTTTGTTTATCGTAGTGTTCACCTTCGATGCTCGTGCCCATTTTTAAACTCTCTTCCAGGCGAGTCTCGTATCGAAAGGGTTAATCTCGGCTTCGATTTACTGCTTATCGTAGTTTTCACGTGCGATGCTCATATGCATTTTTAATCTCTCTTCCAGGTGAGAGCGAGGTCGAGGGAGGTCGACGAATCGGGCCCCATCAGCCCCGAGACGTCCCCAGGGCCCGAGGGCGGCGGGGCCTCGAGGGGGCGCGGCGAGGACGGCGAGGACGGCGACGACGGCTCGCGATGCCGAGGGACGCCTCGGGGACGAACCGGGGGAGCAGCTGGTGAACCGGCCGGCCCCGGGTAAGGCCCGCGCGCGCCGGGAGGAGGGCAGCGGTCCCCTCGTCGTCGGTCGAGCCCCGGCGGGCCGCCCCCGCGGGGGAGCGGACCGGGCGGTGCCCTCGAGGGCGCGAGCGCGACTGCGCCCCCTGGGCGGGTCGCCATGGCGGCCTCCTCGTCCTCGTCCAACGGCGAGCAGCAGTACTCTCTCCGATGGAACGACTTCCACTCGAGCATCCTCAGCTCGTTCCGCCACCTGCGCGACGAGGAAGACTTCGTCGACGTGACCCTCGCCTGCGACAGCAGCAGCTTCACCGCCCACAAGGTCGTCCTGTCGGCGTGCAGCCCCTACTTCCGGAGGCTCCTCAAGGTGCGCATCCCCCTATCCTCCCTGGTATCCTTTGGTCCGAGGACTCTCCGCCTATCGTATCTAGGTTCTGGGCACGGAGTAGCTCAAGGAGCTCCCACTTCCGTATATAAAGGTAACCCCGGATCTCTTCGTCAAGTTGGCCAACGGTAACACCGGTGACGCTTGCGGAAAGATCCTACCCCCTGTATCAAATTTTCAAATTGGCCGTCGTAACATCGTCCACGAGGTAACCGATAATCCCGGAACATTCGTTAACCACCATGACGCTTACCGCTTAACGTCTTACAAAATATTGATAAATAAAACAAGACAGGTCGACACCGGTCGACACCGTGTTTACGTCGGTACCAAACCTAGTACCGTGTCCAACTCGTGTACCAAGTATGCCGCCATGTTGCATAATCGAGGTGCAAGGCCTTTCCCGCAAGATTCCTTGGTATCGATGGCGGTTGACTTGGAACGGAAACCTGGGGTCAGAATTTTCGGGATGGACCCATGGAGTGGGAGCTTCTCGCGCTACTTCGCGGTTATGGGGCAGGGGTGGACGCGGAGCGCCCGGCCAGGAGCGCGCTCGTCCCAGGCCGGACCCCACCGCTTACGCAACGCACCTCCTCGCCCGGGTGGCGAAGCGTGCCGCTGCTCCATATACTATATTTAAAGACACGCGTGCGGCACGCACGCGTGTCCCGTCGACGTCGAGGAGGCGGAACCCCGGCGAGCCGTTTTTAAGTCGCGCCGAGAGTCCGCTCTCCGCTCTGGAAATACTCTCCGCGCCCACCTTACTCCCCGCGCGGGACGAGGGGGGCGCCACCGATAACGCCGTTAACCCTTCACTGCGAAGCCGGGTTTCGCGGGATCCCGTCCTCTGGGGCCCCTCTCAAACCGTACCCCTCGAGGACGGGACGTGAATCCGAGCATAAAGTGCACTTTACGGGCGCGCGCTGTGTCTCTCTCTCTCTCTCTACACTCGGCTGGTATCGGAGATAAGAGATACGTGGATGCGGCGCCGAAAGAATGTCCCCAAAGTGGAAACGTCGACGACGCCTCGGCGTCCGTCCGCGACGAGTAACGGGACGAATGACGTGGCCGCGTTAAACGCGAGCGTGCTCTCTTTCTCTTTCGCTCTCTCTCTCGTTCTCTCTCCCTCTTTCATTCGCTCCCCTCTTCGGGGAGCACGCACTCGCGTGTGCGCCCGACCGGCGTTTAATTCGCCCGTTCTCTCCCACACACACACTCCTTCTCTCCCCCCGTCGTTCTCCCACTATTTCTCTCTTTATCTCTATTTTTTTTCTCTCTCTCACGCTTTGCCTCCCACTCCCTCCCACTCTTTGGCGCAAAACACGAACGCGGCATTAACGTCCTCTTCGCTCGCTCGCTCACTCCCGCCACATGGACGCGCGTGCTCGCGCGAGCGCAGCCTAATGGACGCGCTAATGAAACCTCGCGCTCCTCGGGTCGCGCGGGACGCCCTTACGCCGCTAAGTGCGTAGATACACTCGGGGAAACGTGCGTGCACGCACTTCGCGCTACCGGGTGTGCCCGAAGCGCAATTACCGCGCTGCACTCCTTGGATTTTCCCATTCCGCGTCTGCGTCGCTCGTCGGATCCACGTTCTTCGGATTTTCCTCCCCCGAAATGCCTAGGTTCAAAATTACCCCGCCTCGCTAGGAATTCTTACGGGGACCCCCCTACTCATTGATGGGATTTAATATATAGGTAGGAAAGGTAATTTCGGATTGATGTAAAAATAATACACGAAACGACGTTCACATACATCTCAAGGTATTACGAAAGGGTTATTCTATACGTGCCGAAACATCAAAATATTGATAAAACCTTTCTCCAAATTGGGCGCAACGAATCATTTGAGACTTCGGCGCTTGATTACCGATTTTTTTATCTAGAAAGTATTAACGAGTATGTTTTTTTTTTTTTTTTAATGTCACAATTGAAACACCATCTCTTTACGTTATCCTAACCGATATGCGTTAGCTTCACGTCTGCGTGATTTTTATTTTTAGGATTAGCACTCTTCTTGGCGAGCACAAGTACCATTAATAATAGATGGGAAATGAAAATTGCGGAGTGTAACGTCTTAGCTGTTTCTTTTATCATTATTGGTTCTTTCTTCTTCTTCTTCTTTTGCCGTCTTCTATCTTTCGGTTCTCCGTTCGTGATGTTACTTCAAAGTCCATCTATGAAAACAACGAAACTTTCTGAATTACGAATTCTTTGAGTTTAGGCTTCGTATAGCGAAAGGGAAGCAGGATGTAATGGATGTAAGGGAGGATAATCGCTCCTGGATACGTAGGGTCTGCCCTTCGTGGTGATCCTCGCGCGAGCGCTAAACCAAGTACTCGCGCGAGTGTCTCGCGCCTGAAATAGACGCGGCCAACGCACGGGAGCGGCAATAAATCGGGAGTGTACCCCACGGTGTACGTGCCGAGTCGTACGTACGTACGTATCGAAATAAGAAGACGCGAAGAGCGTCTCCGGGTCCAATCGAAACGGTTAGCTCCGCTCGGCGACGCGCGGACAACGCGAATAGCGCGCCGGACAAGGATAGTATTTCTCGACACCGTTAAACGGTAAACCCGTTTCTTCGTCGTTCCTTTCGGTACATTAATCGTATCGATTAGTTGCTTTACGAAAACGCAGGTCATAAATTATCTTAAGCGTACCGTGCAGCGAATTAATTCCACTTTCTTTCGTCTCCATTTAAATTTATTCCTATCCGTTTTCTACATTTATTTTAATTTATTTCCCCGCCGTCTATTTTTACCCAATCAATTTTTTCTCACGTTTTACACCGTATTTTCTTTTTACTTATATTTATATTATATACATAAATTACTTTCTTCCGTTTTCTAATTTTATTTCAAATGGTATGAACTTTACGTCTTTAGCGTGTAGTAACGTATAACGGCGGGGATAAGATCCCTTGAGACCCTTCGGAGTAGTAAAAAAGTCACCGAAGAGGGGGCCCGTTCGTTAAGGTCGGGCCTAAACTCGCGACGAGGGGCCTTAAGCACTCGCATCTAGTCGCGTGTTCTCGTCGTTATACGACGCGTCTCGTTACGCGAGCTCTCATCTCGACGCCCTGACGACGCGTAGGCCCGAAACGCCATCTATTCCCGTCCCATCCGTTAAACGGGCACCGTTGCGGAGCCGTCTACGATTTCCCCGGCCAAATAGGGCCGGCGCTAAACGGCGCCGTTCGTTCCCGGGTATGCGTCGCGACGCCCGGCGTCGCGCATTCACTCCCCGAGTTGGAGAGATTACTCGCCCCTCGGGGAGGTTTTAGGGTGATGTCGATGTAGGCGGCGACTCGAGTCAGCGGGACGCCGTATAATTGGGCCGACGTACATCGGACGTCGCGACGCCTACGCGTTATGTACCGCGGGAGTATTTTCGGCGACGGAAGTGCGCCGTTGCCCGCCGCGGTGCTTGCGTACCGGGACTGGGCCCAGTATCCGACGCCAAGTCGTTTGGGCCGCGTCCGCGACGCCGCCGTCCCGGGACCTCGAGGACCGCCGCGGCGCGTCGAGGTCCGTTTAAGGTGCGCCCCCTCGCGCGGGTCCCCGTAAACGGATTAGAAACCATGCATACGTACTTTTCCCGCCTAATGCCTCGGTTAAAGCGCTTTGGCGACTCGGCTCAGCCCGGTTCCATCGGAGCATGGGGCAGGGTCGCCATTGTCGACTCCGTTGTTTCTACCGACTTTGAACCGAATGACGACTCCGCTGAAATTTTGAGTCATCCTCATCCTTAAGCTGACCTGCATCCTAAAAATTAATTCTTACCATCAAAATCCATTTTCATCCTTAAAATTCATCTTTATCGTCAAAATTCAGTCTCATCCTAAAAATTCATTCTCACCGTCGAAATCCATTTTCATCCTTAAAATTCATCTTTATCGTGAAAATTTATCGCCATTCCCCAAAATTCATCTCCATCTGGATGGTGCAATTTTTTTCTCCCCGTTTCAGGCGAATCCCTGCCAACATCCGATTGTGATCCTGAGGGACGTCGCCTCGTCGGACATGGAATCCCTTCTGCGATTCATGTACCACGGCGAGGTCCACGTGGGCCAGGAACAACTCGGGGCCTTCCTGAAGACCGCGCAGATGCTGCAGGTTCGAGGCCTCGCGGATGTCAACAGCGGCGCAGCGGCTGCCAAGATTCCACCCCCGGCCTCCTCGGCTGCCAACAATGGCAGCGCGCCCGTGAGTTCGACATCCTCTTTCCGGTTCCTATGCGTTTGCTCTCTCCGAAATTTTTTCGCGATCGCTGCCAGTACGCGATACCGTGCATTCCTCCGTCCCAAATGTACATGGGAAAGAAGAGGTGTGCATCTTCAGCAAATACCTACATTGCCCATAGAGTTTCGCTCTTATCGCAGTAATAATTGCACTAATGACTAAACTGCAATCGTACCGAATGTAGATGTAACCGCAAGTAAATCTTGCTTCAGAGAAATGCTTGCTATATTAACAAATGTTTGTAGCAACTGCCAAAGGAATATTTTTACTACTCGATTAATCGACCTGGATGCAGTTTACTGGCGTTAGTAAGGAATATCGCAACCTTAGATATGACTCGCAGAAATAATAGTTTTTTTTTTTTTATTGGTCGTACAGCAAAAGCATTCTGTAAGGTAGTTTGCTGGCCCTTTTTCAAGCCTTTCACGTTCCCCGAAGAAAGTGACACATTTTATTACGAATATAAATTATTTTTCTACGTGTCCAGCTCTTAGAGTTGGTTACCGTCTATAGGGAGGTTGGCAAATCGAGCGCCAATTGTTGCCGGCTCGTTGATAACGCAGTTCCTATCTTGAATTCCTGGTTTCCTTTGATCTCCGCAGACCACGCCGCGGAATCTCTGGCAGGATAACGGCAGGGGCGATCCCAATGACGGAGGACTCTGCTCGCCACCTACGAAGAGGCCCAGGAGTTACTCGCCGCCGTTGGCGAACCACGTCGAGCAGAAGTCTGACCTCCAGGAGTCCCTTTTGGGGCAGGCGTTGGAGGGTGGCCCGACGATACACACACCAAGCAACAACGTCCAGGTTAGTGGGCGTCGTTGCCTCCATTTCCCCCAGATTCGATGTGTAATGAATTAAGGACCGTCAATATCACGTATTTACATTTTCTCTAGTCATGCGGGAAGATTTCAAGGAAGACTTGGTTTACCTGCAACCCTGGGGTTGCTTTCTGCTTTCAGGCCCAGTCGACAGGCGAAGACTCCAACTCCATGTCGGATAACGAGGAGGACACGTCGAATAACGAGAGCATCCTGAACTCCGTCAAGACCGAGCCCGCCGATCTCCTAAACGACTCCATGGAGCACCATCGAGGGACCTTCCCTGCTGCCCTTCTGGGTCTTCAAGGTAAAGCTTGGATTTTGGAACTGTAACTTAAGGTGACACGATAGTGGCATCCGAGTGGTCAACCGTTTACGAGGTTTTTCCTGCGAACCGAGTACACCGAATCATTCGAAATTTTCCCACGTGAATACGGAGGCCCTAGGGAAGGTCCCGACGCCCATGAAATTCCATTTTTATCAAGGAATAACACGAATGTTTATAAGTATAGTATTAAAAAAAATGAAATTTCACGAGCGTCGGGACCTTTTTTAGGGCTTCCATGTTCACGTTGTAAAATCTCAAAGGATTAGATACGCCGAGTTCGGAGAAAAGCTTCATAAACAAGAGCCTCAGACGCCGCTTCACCTTATCACCCTCGACGTACCGCCTCAAGGGCTGGATCTTGTAGTTAGGGCGGCCCCTTAAACTTTCGTGCAGCATCAATGCCGTCGTTTCTATACTTGTCCACCTTGAAGAGTTACCGAGTCCGGTGGCCGTTATTTCCCAGACCCGAGCTCGACTTTCTGTGACGGCGAAAAAAGACCTTCACTCTCTCGGGTTTCCAGGACTGATGCCAGGACCCTCGGGGATCCACGCGGCCAACCAGGACCCGAATTACGGTGAGTCCGGAGACGAGTCCGCACTTTGCACACGTACACACATCTCTCCCTCTCCTTCGTCTTCCGTTCTCTCGCGTTCCCCCAGCCACACTGCGGTCTAAGTCGCAAGGAAAAGGAAGAGAAAGAAGGAAAAAAAAAGAATAGTCAAGGAGAAGGAACACACCACTAGCTACCCTCCCGCGACTCTCCCCGACTCTGGTCTGTCGTATTTGTTGCGCCGAATGCATGGAACTCTCGTACCTCTCGCAATACCCGTTCAACCCCTTCGAGCCCTCCCCTGTCGCCACCGCATCCCGCCGTCCGCAAAACTCGACACGGTGAGTAAACCTCGGAAACGGAGAGAGAGAGCGCGCAACCTCGCACGAGGACCCGAGGGGACGCGGATCCTTCAGGGTGCCCTTCGGGGGTTCTCCGGGGGAACCTTTGGCGGATCCTCCGGGGCGTCCCTGGACGAGAGGGAGGAACCGCACCCCCTTGACCTTCCTCGTGGACCCGGTTGGACCCTGAGCGGCTCTCTGCCTCTCTTTCGAAGCAGCAAAAATCTGCCGACTCGGTTGGCGGAATATCAGGCAAAAAGAAAAATTGATTTCGTTTGACGAGCCACGTCATAAGGAAGCGGTCCGACGTCTCTTCCTCGAGAGACCGTATTTTTAGGGGGACAAAAAAATTCGGGCGCCCTCCCGCGTAAAAATTGGCGGGCGAGTCGAAGCACTGGATGGCAGTGCGGGGGACGAGGAAAGATAGAAACTAGGAAAGGAAGGAGAAATGCGTGCGAGCACCTCGATCCGAGTTTTGGTTCTCTTGCGAACGGTTTCTCGAATTACGTCTCGGAGAGGACAGTGCGGACGTTCCGCCGTCTCACCGATGAGACTTAGAGCCATGTGCGTGTAGGTATATGTAATTTGACATGTACGATTAGACGGAGACCCGGCGACCACGTGCGCACTTTAGAGCACGCACCGTGGCACGACGGCACGGAAACGTAACTACACGATCGATCGATTATCCGTCGATGCGAGGCTCTCGAGGCCCATTCGCGTTTTTCACTGTGGACGAGCCGCTGGAGTCATAAGATACCGATGAATCGGTGGGGACCACCGAGGGCCCATCGGGCCCGAAGCGCCGACCCCTCGACGCTACCGAAATCGGTAGCGACGTCGGTAGCTTCGATTTCGAGGGTGGAGGTCTCCTCTCTCTCTCCCTCTGCAGGGAGGCTCGAGTAGTCAAGAGTCGGCTGGTCAGAGAGCGACAGAGAGAAGGCCCCGACGGAGGGCCCGAGGGCCCGGTACCAAAATGGCGGCGGTTAAGGGACGCCGACCGGAGCGAGAGTGAGAGGGTCGCAAGAGAGAGAAAGAGAGAGGCGAAAAGGCGAGCGGGGAAAAGGGAGAGAGAGGGAAGGCGGAGGAGGAGACGAAGAGAGAGGGCGGAGGACTAGATTATTAAGGACCCCGGGTCCGGGCCGAGGACTGACGTTGGCTGGTGGTTCCAGGGCGGTGGCAGCCCTCTGGTGGAGACGGCTCCGGTCCCGGCTCGGGTTCCGGTTGGCCTCCAAGCGGCGGGGCCTCCTCGGCGAGGCCCGACCTCGCCGGAACCGGTACCTACCAGAGCGGGGCCCACGGCTCGAAGCAGGACCCCGTGTCTCTCCTCCAACGCCAACACCGCCACCATCAGCCGGCCCATCATCCGCACCCCACCAGCCAAACGCAGCACGCCCTCAATGCCCTCGAGCCCCTTGACAACGGCCTCGGCGCCCTCAACACCCTCAACGGTCTCAACGGCTTCACCACCGAGCAGCTCGCGATCATGCACCAGAAGCTGCAGAACAACCTGCAGAGCCTGCAGCCGCAGCAGCACTACGACCAGCAGCAGTCGCAGCAGCAGGTCCAACAGCAGTCGCAGCAGCAGCCCTCGCCGCTGCGGCAGCAACAACAGCATCCCTCCACCCTGACCAAAGGGGACCACCAGCTGAACCTGATGCTGCAGTCCTGCTCCAAGAAGAAGATGGACCCTGTCCCAGGGATGCACCACGTCCCCCGGCAAGTGGAACACTCGTACCATCCGCAGTCGGACGCTCTGAACCACATCGGGAAGCCCAAGTGCCCAGAGTGCGGGAAGATATACTCCAACAACTCCAACCTGAAGCAGCACATCGTCAACGTCCACACCGTGCAGACCGAGTACGTCTCCTGTCACGTGTGCAGCAAGCAGTTCAAGACCAAGCAGTACCTCCAGATTCACTTGCTGTCCATGCACGGCATCAGGAAGCGCAAGTGTTATCCGGTGTACCAGATGCTGCAGCAGCCCCAACACCAGCAACAGCAGCAACAGCCGTCGTACTCTGCAGCGGATCGCTGGAACGAAGAGAAGCCCAACTGATACCAGGAATAGAGTTCCGAAGATGATCACTTGATCGAGGGATCATCGCGAGCCCGGGGACCAGCGTGAAATGCGAATTCTAACGGCATGGGGAATAGTGCCAAACGTTTCGATTCTACGTTCGACCGAAGTGGCGCGTTGAGGCATCGGTCCGCCATTTTGGTAGCGAGAGGAAACGCGCTCTTCCGGTGAACGTTATTTCGCTTCCACGTTTGACACGAATAGTTGTCGCTAAAAGAGCTTCGCGTCGGGCTCCGGTCCGGTCCTGATCGATCCAATCGATTCCGATCGACCCGGTCGGACGTGTAAGCTATTCGTTATCGCCGATCGGGCGCGCGTCGCGGCCACTCCCGTCCTTTTCTGCCCGTCTCTCTTTCTCTATCCATATCTCTCTCTCTCTCTCTCTTTTTTTTTTCACGTAGTTACAGCAACAGAGCCGCGAAAATCCTGGGCTTCCGACTCGGGAAAGCCATAAAAAGTATAAAATCCCAATCTCGGTCTGGGCTCTCCCGGTGGCGGCGCTGGCGCTCTTGCAGCCCCCGGAGGGAAGCACCTCAGGGAACGGGAAGAGGGAAGAGGGAACGAGTCGGGGCGGGATAAACCGGCAGAAATAAAAGATACCGAAGCCCTCGCGGTTCGAAATCGGCCTCGCCTCGCTGACGACGACCCTTAACCTTGTTAACCGGTTGCCGGTGACGTCGGTCCTCCTTCTCTCTCGCCTCTCTCTTCTCCATTTTTCGGACGTCGAACCGTTACGCCCTTATCGGTCCTATCGGTTTCCATCGGTCTCATCGATTCGCAAGGTGCGTCGATATCGGGCTCGAAAGATCCCCTTCCGACTTATCGTTAACAATTACGGTGGCACGGGGTTCGTTGTCGATAGGTGGTGGGCTTCGTCGTTCGGTCTCGGCACGCGGACTCGGTCGTAGACCCGTTATCGTCGCGGAGACGTTATCAACGCGCCCCGTGGCAAGGACGAAGGATTCGGCCGGAGCGATAGGTGAGCGATAGGGAGGCCGATAGGCCAGCGATAGGAGAGAGGGTCGCAGGAGCCCCCGAGAGTCCTGGGATCGATCCCGGTGCAATTCCCCGCACGTGTCCGCATTGATCTGGCCTCACTTGGCCCCGACGCCACCCACTCCCACCCAGTCCCACCCACCGACGTCTCCGCGAGCCCCGAAACTCGACTCGGATCTCATTCTCTCTCTCTCTCTCTCCCCCCCTTCCTCCCTCTTTTTCTATCTTTATCTCCCTTTATCTCTCTCCGCCTCTTCCGACCGCGCCAACCGCCTCCTTCGGCCCCTCCACTCGAGGCCGAATCATTCCGACCACGTCGATTCGCCCCCTATTTTCATTTCCACGGGTCTCTACCCCCTCGCGCCTCGCGTGACTCGCCGAGAAGGGCTCGGCCCGGGTCGCCTGCGATTCCTGAACGTCCGTTTCGATTCTCAAAACTATGCTCCAGGTCCCAAAATCCACCGAAAGCCCGAAATTGTACCGACCCTCGGATTCAAGGTTGACGTAACGGCCGATTCTGCCGTATCCGTGTCGACGCGATCGTTACCACAGTCAGTGCATTGACGTGCACGGCACGAATATGTCACGGATGTGGCTCGAGTGGGCCTTAAGGCGATGCGAAATGAGCACCAGGGCATTTGTGAAATTTTTCTCCGATCTGGCTGTACCGAATCATTTGAAGTTTTTCCTCGCGAATATGGAGGACCCGACACCCATGGTACCTCACTTTTTAATCTTTATAAACTTTAAAAAAATTTAATCCGTCTGCACGTTTTGTAACAAATTCAATTGCACGAGGGTCGCGACCTTTCTTAGGGTCTTCGTATTCACGTGGTAAAATTTCAAAGGAATTTGTGCATTCTGGTGGGAGAAAAGTTTCACAAACGATTGACCCCTCGGATGCCGCTTTCGCGTCACCTTAAGGCGAGACTTGGGATACGGGAAGCTCCTAAGGGCTCGGTGATCTTAGGGTCCTGGAAACTGGAGGAAAATTTGGTTCACCGTGGAAATCGATCATGGGGATCGATCGGTGCGTTCCGACGCGGATGTCCAATGAAAGCCGCGAAAGGGGCGAGGCGTCGTTGCCGGATGCAGACAGGATGATGGGTCGTAACGAGGCCAGGGAGATGGGTCGATACCGAGGTTCTTACGTAGTTTGCTCACGCTCTCTCCTTTTCTCTCGAGGAGACCTAGTCCCGTCTCGCTTGCTCGGCTGTCCTCGAGGTGTCTTCCGTTCCGCTCCTTTCGACTCCCTCGAGGGCCGGGGCCTCGCGAGGCGTCGAGTCGGTGCACGGGGGGAAGGGGAGATCGCCGGGTCTTGGCGAGGATCCAAATTTGATAAAGACGCCATTTCGGGCCGCTTTCGACCCGGTGCGTTCCCCGGGGTTTGCGCCATCCGCGGGTCGAAATCGGAGTGGAAGACGTCGACGAGCGAGCTCGTGGAGCGAGTCCGAAGGGACGATGCGACACCAGCGATCGACTCGTTGCGGTCGGGGTACCACACACCATCCTACAACCGGGCATGCCCTGAGAGTACGAGAGTGCGTGCGTGTGTGTGCGTGGCTGGGTGAGTCTCACCCGGGAGAAAGAGGAAGTGCTTGTCTGCTTGTCCACCGACTTGAGAGAGAAAGAAAGAGAGAAAGAGGTAGCCTGGGAAGCTCGAGGTCCAGAACTCGAGCTTCCCAGGTGGTTCCTGGGCTGGTGGAGAAGGGGTGAATGGCGAGAGAAAGAGAGCGAATGGGTGGAAGGGATGACGAGGACGAGGGGTCCTGGATCGTCGTTCCCGAGACGTGGCCGGGACGCTTCGAGGACTCGAGGTCCTTGGGGCGTCGTGCACGCCGGGAAGGACGAGCGGGGTCCACCTCGAGGGTGCGAGGAAGGTGAACGAGAAGAGTTCCGAACGTGGATGCGAAAGGGGGCGAAAAAGAGCGAATGGGTGTGAATGCGTGGGAGACCGAGGAGACCCCGTAACCCCTAGGCGGAATGGGCATGACTCTGACGGGGCACGTGTCCTGGGTTGTAGGATCGGTGATGCCGAAGCGGGAGGACGTCGGGGTGGGCGTCGGCGTCGGCGTCGGGGTCGGCGTCGGCGTCGGCGCGTGCCCGTCCGAGTCCCAGGCCGTGGAGAACTTCGCTAGGCTCTACACGGCCCTGAGGCACGACGACGCGAGGCCGGTGTGCCGTTACTGCGGACGCAGCTACTCCTCGCCGAGCAACCTAAGGCAGCACGTGAAAAACGTCCACTCGAACTGGCCGCCCCCTGACACGTGGCCCCAGTGCAACGTGTGCGGGAAGCGCTGCAAGACGAAGCACTACCTGATTAACCACCAGCTCCAGGCCCACGGGATCCACCAGAGGCCGAGTCTCAACAATCCCAACAACCCGGCCAGCCAGCACCAGGCCCCTTCGCTGCCCTGAGACCGCGCCTCGGGACCATGAACGACGCGGCCCCGACCCGGGCGGGCACGCGGTCCGCGGGGACCTCGCGCGCTGCTCGTCGTGCGCGTTCGGAGGGAGGCGATTGCGCAGCGTCCGGGGACTCGCGACGCCGGTCGACGGACCGGGATCCAGGTCCGGTGGCGGTAGAGGAACGAGACGGGACGAGACCCGGGTCGCGACCACCGTGCGGTTTCGGCGCAACGGTGGGCGGGGGTCGATAGCTGGTCGATAGCTGGTCGGTGCCAGGGTAGGTGCGTTCCTCCGACGCGGCCTTAGCCTTAAGCGGTGCGACCGGGCCGGTCGACGGAACGAAGGCCGACCCCGTGGTCCGCGGTCCCCCTTCCCGCTGTCCCTGCATGGGATCCTTGTCGACGCGAAGTCGGCCGGCCCCTTGGCCCTCGGTCCCCGATCAGGCCCCGCGCCGAGAGAGAGGGAGAGGGAGAGAGAGAGAGCGAGAGAGAGAGAGAGAGTAGCGAGAGAGTACCGAGAGTCGAGCGGAGAGGACGACGGAGGCTGGTGAGGTAACGTTGGTGTGTGGTGGTGGTTGCAGATCCCGGGCTCGATGAGGCAGAGGGTGCGGCTTACCACCACCACCACAGCCATCACCAGCAACGTCACCGCGCCCACCACCACGAGCACCAGCACCGAAGTCAGGCCCGGGCCGAGGCCGAGGTGGAGGCGCCTCGGCCCCGGAAGGAGCCGTCCTTCTTCCCGGCGGGGCCCGGGCCCGGGCCCGGAGCCGCGGTCGTCAAATACGAGCGGGCCCAGCAGCAATCCGAGTTCCGGCAGCAGAGGATGCTTCGCGAACACCACCGCCAACACGGGTACCGGTGTCCTCTCTGCTGCAGGACCCTGCCCGACATCGGGGCCATGAGGGCCCACCTGGACCATCACTACCCCCGGGACTCGCCCACCTGCCCGGTCGCCTCCTGCGCGAAAACCTTCTCCCACCCTAACAGCGTGCGCAACCACATGCGACTCAAGCACCCCGTGCAGTGGGACCGCATCAAGACCCTCAGGTGGACCTACGTGTGATGGCCCCCGGGTGGGCCCGATGGGACTCGCGGACCCAAACCGAGACCGAAGCAGTATTCCGTGCGCCGCTCAGGAGAGACGCCCGCGGAGGGCCCAGCCGCGACTCTCGGGCAAGTCGCTCCCAGGGCCCACTTGGGCCCCACGAGTCGGGCCGCGTATTGCGCGAAAACGATGTTCCTCAAAGCCGAGTAAGCCAGCCTTACGCGTTACGTGTCGCCTAGAGTTTAAGGTACCCCGAGGTAGGTGGAGGCGCCGACGCGGGGCCCGGTCCCGACATCGGGCCCCGGTCCCCCCATCGGGCCCCGGTCGCGACGTCGAGGCGCTCCCGCGGGATCCTAGTATTATTTTTATACGCCGGCCCCCTTTCCGCCTCGTCGCGTCCGACGTCGGTCCCCGGGGGCCCGACGGCTCTCGACCTCGACGGCGACCTCGACGGCGACCCCGACCGCCGACCCTGGACCGCGGCGCTGCCTCTCGACATATCGGGACTCGGGTCGTCCCCTCCGGTCGCGGACCGGGGACCTTCCTCCTTCAGATTCACCCGCGATTTCCAGTTGCTCTTCGTCGCGACGGCGGGATCTCCGTTCCCTCTTTGACTCTCAAAAACGCCGTTTTCTAGTCGGGAAGAATCGCGCGGCTCCGTCGCTCGGTTTCGCCGGTTACTTACTCGGGGACGTAACCTTTTTGGGAATAGCATGCCCTACCCAGGTTCCTGTTAATTGCTCTCGGGAATGACGTTCGGAGGATTCGGAGGTCCAAAAACTTCGGGTCCAGATCCGAGATCTCGTCTCGCGCGGCACCGCCGCGCTTTACCCGGGGAGGCGCGAATTCGGGAAGAAGATGCCGCGCCGACATACGCGAACAGACCCACGCGAACACACAGAAATGCATATTTATACATACACACGTTTATTAATATTATATACATATATAGATTATATATATATATATAAATATAAATAAATAAATGTATGTCCTGCGATGTATAGAGCACCTATCCTACGAGCAGGCGCGCGCGTATTATTTTAGACAGAACTTAGGGATACGATATATCGAGTGAAGTATACCACTTAAGTAATGCTTTGTACAATAAAGAGAAACATATACGGCGAACAAGGCGGCGTTGATGGTTTCTCCCAGCACCCAAGAGACCTTCGTGCCCCTCGATCGCCGATAGCCATTTCTAATCGAACGGAATTGGGACCTCCGCCGATCGCCTCGGCGGGAAGGACCTTCGTGAGAATCCTGCATGAAACGGGCTTTCAAGGTATCCTTTTGGTCGAGACTCTACGGTACACGCGGGAAAATATAGATTTGGTTCGTCAAACGAGCTCGCCTGTCTCGACCGATCAAAACGATTAGGTAAATCGTATCGTTAATTCTAGAAAATATTTTAGCCGATAAACCAATCATTTTAGTTAAGGGGATGTGAAAGTATCATTCGCAAAGATTAATAGTTCATGAAACTGTTCTACGATCTAGGTGTGCCGAATCGTTTCATACGTCACAACGTGAACACGAAGGCCAATGTGAATGTTGAAAATATCTATAAACAAATTTTTTTTAAAATTGAAATGTCATGGATGTCACGACCTTCCTTATGGTCTCCATATTCGCCCTGTAAAGTTTGAAACGATTTGGTTCATCCAGATCGGAGAAAAGTTTCATAATTAAGACCTCTTTCGCGTCACTTTCACATCGACTTAATTGTACAATATTTTATTATACTTGGGACGATCAAGAATATTTGACGTAATCGACCAAAAGTTGTTGACCAAAGAATTTGACCAGGTCGACCAAACGTTTGGTTCGTGTTATAATGAAATTGTCGGTCGAACCGGCAATGACTTTTCCGCGTGTACCGTCCGGGTCCGTGGGCTCCCGTTGAAAGGATGGGTTTCTTTCGGTCGGGCGAGCCGGGTGGAATCGGGTCGGGATCCGGGCATGCCTATCGCAGACGCCACTAATGCAGGTGCACCGTTCTAAATTGCAGTCGCCCGGCGAGGCCTCGACATGATGCGCGTCCGCGCGACGGACCCGCGGCCCTGCCCGAAGTGCGGGAAGATCTACCGGTCGGCCCACACGCTGCGGACCCACCTGGAGGACAAGCACACGGTGTGCCCGGGGTACCGGTGCGTGCTGTGCGGGACGGTCGCCAAGTCCCGGAACTCGCTGCACTCGCACATGTCCAGGCAGCACCGGGGCATCAGCACGAAGGACCTGCCGGTGCTGCCGATGCCGAGCCCTTTCGACCCAGAGCTGGCCTCGCGGCTACTGGCCAAGGCCGGGGTCAAGGTCAGCCCGGCTGAGCTGCGGGCCCGGGCCAGTCCGACGGGGCCCAGGAGAGGGGACGCGCGGCTGGAGCTGCCCCGCGGAGGGGCCCCCTCGGAGGCGGGCAGCTCGGTCTGCGGGGGCGACGACCCAGAGGACCTGACGCTGCCGCTGAGCCTGAGGTACGGCTCGCCGACGCCCAACAACAACACGGTCATCTCCAAGGCGGCCGGGGCCCAGGAGCAGAGGCCCGGGCCCAAGAACAACGGCGGCGCCGTGGCCGCCAAGAGCCTCGATTCCGGCATGTTGGGGGGCGCCCGCGAGCCCAACATGGCGCCCCTGCACCCCGGACACCGCGGCGCCTCGGCCGCCTCCGCCACCGGCTCGGCCATCCTCGACACCTACCTCCAGTTCATCGCCGAGAACTCGGGCCTGACGATGGGCCTCAGTCCCGAGCAAGCCGCCGCCGTCGCGGCCGCCCACGCCGCGAAGATGGCGCACATGAGCGCCATGGACAAGCTGGGCAGCCGCGGCGTCGAGGACTACCCCGTCATCGGGAGGGACGAGGGCCGGCCCCCCGGCCTCGTCCTCGAGGACCGCGCCGACCTCCGCGCCCGGCACCTCGCCCTCGAGGACGCCGAGTCCTCCGTCGGCGAGGACGAGGACTTCAGCGAGAACGAGGAGGCGGACGGCCTCAAGGCGGAATAGGCTCTCCGTCGGCCGACGACGCGACGTTTTTCCGTCCCTCCGCCCGTCCGTCCGCCTCCCGGCGCCGCCGACCCGAAGAACGAGAAGAACGCCTGCCTCTGAGTCGCCCGACCGCCCGGAAGAGGACGTCGAAGACGCGGTTCTCCAAGATGGCGGATCACGCCGAGCGACGAGGGAAACGGGCCAGTGCGCGTCGCAGGACCCGGGGAACGGTTGGAAAGTGCCCGACACGTAGGTACGTTGGAGTATCGGCTCTTCGCGAGGACTTTTTTTCCCGGACGAGGTGAGACTTTGCCGACCTTGCGCGGGGAATAACGAGCTTTCGTAAGCGGCGGATCCGTAGACTTGCGCCCCTGTAGAAGGTAAGGTCGAAAGTTACCTTGGAGTCGCGGTCTACGCGACCGTTCGGTCATTCCGGTAGTTCTGTCGTTTTGTGGCAACCGTTTTTTTTTGCCGCTTTCCTCGCTTTACTTATATTATCGACTGATACGTTACCAATGCCCGCTGCTCGTCTTCTTGCCGGGGCGACCGCTCGGAGTCGTGGTGGCAGCCGTGCCGAAAATTGTGCTCGAAAATGACGTCCCTGCAGGCAGCGGTGTTGAGGGCCCTGCAGATTTCCCGTGATAGATATACGCGTTATTTTTATTTCAATTATTTGCCCGCTAGCCGAAGCGTGGAGCCGGTCGGGATCTCTGGCTCGCGCCTCGTCTGCTGCTCGTTTTCTTTTTTTTTTCCTTTTTCGAGGGAGGGTGACTGATTGTCACCCAACGGAGTAGCTCGCTTCGATCGAAACCAAGACTGAACTTCTGCCTGATTGACCCCACAGGGCAACTATCGCGACTACCGGAACGATCTCGCGAGCAAATCGGCGAGATAAATGGGATACCGCGCGGCAGGTACGACTCTTAACGCTCTCTGTTTGCGAAGTTACCTCAAAGCTCACCTGTAGAAACGACGGAACTTTCGGAATGACCCGTAAATTATATGCGGAGATACATACCGCCCGAGACTCTCGGTCGAAAGCGCCGACGGAAGTAGACGGACGAGGCAAAGCGAACGCTCACCTCGCGGGAAATAGAAAAATCCGTACCGTCGACAGTTACACCGACTCTTTCGGCCGGTAATCTAGACTCCGAGGCCTCTTCGACGCCCTCGACTGGCCTACATAATGGCCGCCGCGACGGCGAGCGACCTCCGTACGTCCCTCCGTAAGTATATTCCATCGGTCTACCTCAATGCACATAATAAAACTCTGTAGGATTTAGAGAGAAGGAGAATCGCGAGCGGGAAACCGCGAGGGAGACGCTCCGAGAGGAAGGGAGAAGAAACTACCCGAGAGAACCGCGTCTCCGTCTCCCTCCCTCTGCGGCGTTGTTTTCGTCTCGGGCGAGCCAAGCAATTTAGCCATCGATTTGTTGGGGAGCTATTAGAAACCGTATTAAGGCCCGTGTACACACGAGACGACGCGCGGTCGACGCGCTGGAAGCGCGCGGTCGCGCCTGTTTTTTTTTCTTCCTCTCTTTTCTTCTTTTTTTTTCTCTCTTTTTGTTCGTGATTCAGCGACGGGGAGGGAATCGACTCCTCTTGCGCTCCGGACGGCGAGAGATGATTATTAATTATTATTATTATTATATATATATGAATGTTGAGGATAAATATATATTGCCTAGATTTATAGGGAGAGGTTGGCGGCGAGTGCGCCGAGTCGAAGGTATACGTAGACGTTTTGGCACTTCGGTCTGGTTTTGCGCGCTTCTACTTTATTTCCTAACCACCGAACAGACGCGACGCGAGCGCCTTCTTCAGGGAGCGCCCCGACGGAGGACGTCGAGAGAGCGCGAGCACCGATGTCGACGTCGGGATCTGTTAGAGATTAAGTGTTTGTTGTTTTTCTTCTTTTTTTTTTAAATCTTGTCAGTCTCTCTCTCTTTCTTTTATTTTCTATCTTTTTTTTTCTTTTTATAAGACAGAGAATCGTCGAGACCGACGACAGAGTCAAGAGTTGGAAAATCAAAATGGCGGGGGAACGCGTCTTCTCGACCGCTTCCAGGACTGACTTGGACATTTTTCATCCCCCTCGGGCACCCTCCCTCCCGTTACCCCGTCACCCCGTATCGATCGTCGTTGACTAACGTTCGTTCTAACGCAGTCTTTCTCGTCCTTGCCCCCTGATATCGTCGTTTCTCCTCGAAACCGACGACCTCCTGAGGCGCGCCGCCATCTTTCTTCGCGGGCGTGACGCTCTCCGTTCGTTACTACCCATTTCCGGGACGTTTATCTGAAATTTTCTAGATTCCAAGTGATAACGGAAGTATCACGCAAGTAAAGAGACCAGAAACCCTCAGGAACGATTTTTCCTTTTCGAAATTGACCGATCCCAACCTTCACTTATAAAGAATTACCGTCAATGTCGGAACAGGCTTGCAAGAAGAGAGGCTGAAACCTCCGTAAATCACCCTTCCACTTCCAGAGGAAATGAACCAATCCCGTATACCATTTAAATTTGGAAAATCAACGTTGAGTGTCTGGAAGCGTACGAGAAGAGGCGCATTCGTTATCCGGAGTGTTATCCCGACGAATCCCCGCCCGAAATTGTGGATCCCGCGCGCTGATCGCAGGCCGAAAATCGGGGTCCGACTAGCTGTAAAATGGTTCCTACTAATATACACACACGCATAAACTAATCGCGTTAGGTTAGCTTCTCGTAGGTCGTAGGACAGTGATTAGACTAGGCATAGGCAACTCATTAGCAATATAGAAGTGTGCGAGGCCGCGCGCCCACGTTTTGCCGCAGTTTTAAGGTTAGGTCTGCGGCGCGCCACCGCGCGGGACGCCGGAAAACGACGGCCGAGGGCACCACGCGAGATTCGGGGTTTCATTAAACGCGAAAAGGCTCTTGTTTCTCGTTTTCGAGCGCCCTCGAGTGCCCTCGGACCGTCGCTTTTCCGTTCGAGTGCTCGAACACGCGGCCAGTCCTCGGATCGATGCAAGCCGGCGGCAACGGCGCGGCAAGGCGTGGGCACACGTGCGTGCAGGAGCGAGCGAGGAATCTCGAGCGTGGCAAATATTGCGGGCAGTGGGGATTGTCCCTTTGCGCAGGAGTCCGGCGAACGAGAGAAATACGGCCCGACGCCGATAAAATCTCAATCCGGTGGACTGTAAAATTGGACACCGAACCTCCGGACCAGTCTTCGTCCGAAGAGAAAAACCCATTCGGGCGTTTCGAAGTACCCGATACCTTTTAGCCAGATAAAAAACGCAAGAAAGGAGGGAAATTCAGCTGAGAATGCGTTATGGATATTTGTATACCTATTTATTAGTAATTGTAAAAACTGGCAATTGTAATCGTGGTTATGTTTCCCGGGTAAAGGGTGACCATTAAGCTCTCTCGCCGTATAACATGGCGGCCTCGTCTGTACTTGTTCCAGGTCCGCTGGGCTCCTCTCAAAGGGATTCCGTAACAAAGAAGACTCGCTAGAGCACCGTTTCGAGTAGAATTTTGTACCGTACATCTCTGTTAAGGGAAAAGTGCTCGAAGCGGTGCTTTATCGAGCTTCGACCACTCGTTATTCTTAAGTGAGCTGGATATCGGGCAACTCGACGGTCCGGGGCGATCGGATCGGCTCGAGAAAGAGAGCGGGCGTAGTTTCTAGGTTAGGTTAGCTCGTAGAGAATACTCCGTGTATACTAACCCCGTAAGTTTAAGGCTAAAGTTGCCGTTGGCGACGCTTTTCGAGATGGACAGTCGGGGGAAACGCGCGGAGAGTCGAGGAAAGCGCGGAGTCGACTTTTCGGGTCTTGTTGCTAGTACGACATGTCTCGACGCTTTTCTCCTGTCTCCGCGTTTCGCGTCCCCCCGCGATTCTACGGATGGAGGCCGATAGAATAAGATGGACAGTCGATGTGGCGAGAGATTTGCGAACGACGAAATTGATGACGCATGGGAGGGGTTATACAAGTGGAACGCAACGAGATGGACAAATCTGCAGGTCTAATCGGTACAAATGAAACCACTTCTTGCCTTGAAGCTCTCTACGTAGCGGCTGTAATATGCGACGCGATCGGATGGACTGAGCGAACGAGAAACAATAATCCTAAATACTATTTAGATACGCGAGGCGAAAGAGAACGATCTAAAGTAAGACGATTATTTTCCACGAGAGTACAAATTTTCATCTTGGATCTAGGAGGCGCGGCGCCTCGCTCGACGAAAGAGGCGAACCTGTGCAAAAGAAATTCCACGGAAACGAAACACGGTCCTGAGAGCTCGCGCGAATGCAAAGTCGACGCGTTTGCAGAATCCGCTTAACGAGCTAACGATATTCGGTGCCATAGCGTAACGGTCGCGAACGCGACCCTTCTCGATCGTCCGCCTCTTTTCCTGACATTTTTTGTATACGTCCACGTGTACCGTATTCGCGCGAAGGGGATAAAAAGAGAGAGAAAGAGAGACAGCCGACACGTTCGATCGTGAACCCTCGATCTCGCCGTGATCTCGCCAGACGATTCGCTCGTTCGCGAACCGTGCGTCGTTGTCGTGAATTCGAGTCACTGCGCGGACGAGGCTTCCGACGCGTTTCGAAAGACGCTCTTCTAGAGGGGAAGAAAAAAAGAAAAAGAAACGCGTTACTCATAAATTCACGCCTATTTTCATTTGGAACGGAACGCCCGTTTTCCTTTCACGCCAGTCACCGGAGAACGGCGGCCATTTTGGTGCACGCAGTCATCCAGCGTTCAAAGTTCGCGAGGAGGGAAATTTGGTCATTTTTGAGAGACATAATCGTCGAGAGGTCGTAAACGCTTTGTAGGCGAATCTCGAATATCCAGCGTAGTTTGGTTAAGGGATCAAAAAAGGGAAAAGCACAATTTCCGAGACGTTCGGAGCCTCGACCGCGCGTCCCGCGTTGCCATAGAGACGCCAAGTTGGCGTCACCGTAGGAATCCGCTAGAGAGCGACAGTAACGTTAATAATACGTATACCGACGATACCTCGCGAGGCGAAACCGAGAAGAAGCAACCGAAGGGGAAGAGAAACGGTCCCGGAACGATCGAGTCGATTCCGAGGACGATTTCGCGCTCGCATGTTCGTCCCACCTTGATCGTTAGTTGTTACTGCAGTATTTAATTCTTAGGTATACGCAGAGTCGCGCGTACCCGCGCCTTATACACGTAGCGTACGTATATATATATTTTTACACGATACCTCCTCCAGCCCCCAAAAAACCTCGAGTCTCCGACAGGATCTCCGAAATATAGTCCGCAATAGTCACTTGGGATAAATACAACGAATACAGTATTGCAATAGCTTTTAGAACGGAACGCCCGCGGCGTGCGGGACTGCTCCGTAACTACTCAGGTACTTATTACGCGACACGAGATGTCGCGTAATATAACAATAACTGAACTCAGGAAAACCTCAAGCAGACAGGCCGTGATACTACATATATAGAGACGTTGATACTACTACTACCGTGCTACCATTCTACTTTGTATACTACACCTACTTTTACTACTCTATCGCTGCACTTTCGACTACCGTCGCCAGCGCCGCCCTCTCGGCGACGGTGGCGCGCGCAACCTCGAGTTCCGGATTGCGCCGCTAGACAGCCTCGAGCCCCACCAGTTTCGAGGGAAGAGTCCTAAAGGGCGAAAACCGCGATACACGAGGACACACACACACCCAAGCTACCTCCGTTGATAGGGACGTATCAGTCTTCTATCTATACCTGTGAATATCCCCGCCGCGTGGATATGTCGCCTCCGACGACGTATAAATGAATATACAAAAATATATATATATACACACATAAATATACATATTTACACGATTTTAATGCAAGATAAGGAAGAAATATATATATATATATACATACACATATATGTATACTTCCCTCGACTAGGGTCTTAAGGCGTTGCTTCCGAGCACGGATCGGCCGAGCGGGTCCAGACGGGGCGACATCCGGGATTTATTTCTCGCGCTCCTTCTCGACCCGGTCGCAAGGGAAGGCGTTAAAAGTCCGGCGAAAAAAACGAGCCTCCTGCAGACGAATAATTCACTGCCACTGCGTTCCCCCGTTTTAGGGGCTCGGCCGATCCGTGAATGACAGTGCTGAATTCCAAATCGACAATGCAATACGATGTACTTACTACGATCGAAGAGAGGGCGAGAGCGAGGGGCGAGTTTCGTCCTCGCCGAGTCCTCGGTCGACCTATTCGTTGACTAACCGCGACAGAGATACGACGGGCGAGCGAGAGTGAGAGAGACGGAGAGAATGAGGGAACGCATGGGATATGCGAGAGGGAAACGACGTGTGCGCGCGAGGACGAGAGTGAGATTGTCAATAGTGATACGTACATATATGATATACATATAAATAAATATATATATATATGCCGAGAACATAATCAGGGATGCGTCGTAACCATAGGCATAGAGTCATCTAGTGATAGAGGAGAGGATGCGCGCCGCTCTCGAGTTTTTACTAGGGAGGTAGAGAGGGATGGAGCGAGACCCTGGGTGCAATCTGGCTCGGATTCGATTGGTCGAAATTTCCGTGGTTTGCGGACCGTCGGCCCTCTTTTTATTCTTTTCTCGTTCCTCTTCCTTTAGCGCGGCGTCGGGTACCGCCGTATCTTTTCACCGCGGTTTATTAATAGAGACGAGCATTCGAGGGGAACCGCTCGGAAACGCCACCTCGGACGGGAGCTTTGTGTTCCACGGGGTCGCCCGGGGAATGCTAGGACGTGTGTGCGCACTTATACGTAAATGTCGGATGGTCTGTCCGATTTCCGACCGAGCCTTTTCGCCCAATGGAGTCCCAGCCTGCGTCGAGACGCGGAGCGCCGCCGTTGGCTCGCTCCGCTAGGGAGGCCGACGTTTGTACGAGCGTTGTACGGAATTGTTATACGTTGGCGATTTTCTTCGTTAGTTTAGAGAGCCGTAGGGCTCGGCCCAGCCCCGAGGGCGAGCGATCGCCGATTGCGGTCCTGGAGCTCCGCGCAGACGCGGGGCGCCGGGACGTCGCTCGCCGATTGTACGGAGCGTCGAAGGTTAACTACGTTAAGGTGCTTTTCGCTATCGTTGATGTTTTATTACGTTGACAGACACCGCCGCGGAACGTCCGCTCGACGGATCTTTTAGTCTCGGTCGGCGCCCCGTTTAGCGCCCGTTGGCGCAGACTCGTTAGACCCGTGTCCCACTGAGCGCGTTTCACGTTACGCGGGCGTTGATCTGCGACGCGTTGACGCGTAGGCGTGTCCCATTGAGCGACTCTGGATTTATAATGAGTTTACAATTCTTGACGCGATGCGTTAAATTGTTTCGACCTAAATTTCATTCTAGTGAAAATAATGCACGGTGCGCGCATAAAAATATTTCTCCTCGAATCAATAACATGTTTGTTGGTTTAACCATAAAATATATGGTTAGATGGAGAACGAAATACTTGGTTGACATCATACGATTTTTCTTTTTTCTTTTTTATGAACTTTTCATCGATTACATCAAATACTGGCGGTAGATCTCTTCAAATGTTAATGTAATTCGATACATTTGGCTAAAATATTTTATTTATTCGCCTGAGATATTTTCTAAAATTATTGAACGCGATTTAAGCGAAACACTTTAGTTGGTCCTAGCAAACTAGTATGGTCAAGTGAACTGAAATTCGGTTCGCTCAACGCGAAATGTTTTATAAAATGAACCAAACGCGGTCAAACGATTTTGTTAATGAGCCAATTTGTTCCGCGGGTTTTAAGCGCAGTTCTAGTTGGTCGCTCCATCCTCGACGCGTCGAGGCACCGCGTTTTATGTGACCCCCGACGCGCTCAGTGGGCCATGTGTCTAATCAGCGCGCGACCTCGACGACGTGCATGTAAAAAGGATGCGGAAGGAAGAAGGTAGTTCTCGACCTGACTTTTTACCATTTGACAGTCAAATCGACTCGCGTCTCGGGCCAGACGAGAAAACGGCGCCGAGACGCATATCCCTTCGACATAGATCCCGACCCAACTATTCTTTTTCCCCCGCGATTCCTCCCCTACGTTGTAAATACGACAGTCTTATTTATCCATAATGCTCTTTTGCGTACCTTCGAATGTTTTTCTCTTTTTTTTTTTACTCTCGTTGCCGTGGTCCGCGTACGCGCGCTCGGTCACTATTGTTTTTTTGCCGTCTGTAGCATTTAAGCCAATCCAACTTGCCAATACGATACAATAAATATTTTAGAAAAAAAGAAAAGAAAGAAAAAGGATGAAAGAAATGATCAAAACCACTAGATAAGAGCCGTTCCTTTGGTTCATTCCTTAGGTCCGCGGGGGGGGATGCTTTTCGAGGTGTTTTTGTGTTAGAAATTGACCTTGCTCCGCCGAAAGGGTTACTCCTGAGCACGTCCAAGGCAACATATTTGCAATTCAAAGCGATCGGTTTTAAAGTATCAGTGCCTGTGGATAGGTAAGTCACATCCGATAAATGTCATTAGTCGAGTCTCGGTTATACTGCCGAGCACGACTGCCCGTCTTTCCCAAGGGAAAGAAACGGGGTGAAGCAACTACAGTTCCTATTTTATCGCGATCCACGAATATATATATATCGTAACGGTACCGCGTGTACGCAACTACGCAAAGAGTGGGATGGAAAGAGTAAATGTAAGTAGTCGGGAATATTATAGAACGATGTCTCATTATATAGGGTACGCCAACTCACAAGGGGGCAGCTGCCGACTGACTTACCTGCAGTCTTTCGGCAGTTGCAGAGAGAGTGAGACATGTGAAACTCCGGGGAGTAGTGTGTACAATATATTACGATATCAATAAAGACACTGAATTTTTCAGGCCAGTGGCTTCCTTTCGACGAAACGGCCCCATTCTAGGCAAGAGACCGCGCGGTTAACCCCTGCTTCAGCGTGTCCTAAAATAATAAGTATGGTACAAGCTGAAATGGAGATTATAAAAATAAAGTTAATTTATTGGGACTAGTAGATACGGAAGCACGACTTTCCGTCAACCATTACTCATAGTTTCATGGCGGTTGCCAAAGTTAGAGCGGTTTAAACTTCATACCAACTTCACAGAAATTCCTCTTGTAGCTTGAACCAGAGATGAGTTGGGATATTGCTCACGGGCAGGATCGTGCGATCGCATCCAGTGCTGCCCTCTGGTTTCGTACGTTAGCTTTCACCGTTTTTTCCCCCCCAAGGGCGGCGCAACGAATTTCTGATAGGAGCTCGCATACTCGCGATGGCGGTACCATCTACCAGTCCCCGTTGATGGCTCACGTACTCGTAATGGTAATACCAGAGATGAGTTGGGAGATTGTTCACGGGCAGGATCGTGCGATCGCATCCTGTGCTGCCCTCTGGTTTCGTACGTTAGCTTTCACTGTTTTTTGCCCCCAAGGGCGGCACAACGAATTTCTGGTAGGGGATCGCGCACTCGCGATGGCGGTACCATCTACCAGTCATAGTTGGCGGCTCACGTACCCGTGACGGTAATACCATGCGGCAGTTGACGGTGGTNTTATCTGCACCAAGGTCCTTAGTGTCTTCCCTCAATTTTGTCAATTTTGAGTTGCGTCGCCCTTGGGTGGCAAATACGGTGAAAGCTAACGTACGAAACCAGAGGGCAGCACAGGATGCGATCGCACGATCCTGCCTGTGAGCAATCTCCCAACTCATCTCTGGCTCGAACCTCCAGTCACGCAGGCGTTGACCCGCGACACCTCACGCAAGAGTGGAGAGGCTATGAGGTTCGCCGGTTCTCCGAGAGATGACACTACCATTTGGCGGCGACCTAGGAACTTCGAGTGCTTACCGGCGAGTCGCGCATTTGTCTAACGGGTTCGTGGCGGCTTCGAGAGATGGCGCACCGAGCACGCGAAGTAGTTCCAGGAAATCTGCGCCTGACCAAGGTTCCAGTTTACGCACGTGCGCACTTTGACTCCATAGAATAAGTATTGCAAGTGCCGCGCGCTATTCATTATTGTACTTATCAGAACATTACACGCTTATTTTGCAGTGGCCCGAGTCGGCGAGATTTTCCGATATACTTGCAGGGTTTTATTCGCCAGTCAAGAGACGGCGACTTATGCGGAGGTCTGTACCGAAGTACCGGCCGACTCTTGGAACGTACTCGAACGGCCAGCGCGCTAATTCGCAATCGAGCCTCGCACTCGTACAACGAGGGCTCTGTTCGCCTTTGGCGTTTCGAGGGATGAAAGCCCTCGGTGAGAGCACCCGTTAAGATGCGGCAGCTGCGATTACCGATCCCTCGATCCGACTCGAGCCGCCTCGCGAAGACGCAAAGAGGCTTTCCATTCGACTTGGATCGAGGAGGCGGTTCCGGGACGACTTCTATCCAAGGCCTGTGCCTTGGATTCGGTTTCTTCCACGATTTTGCTTATCGTTCTCTTACGTAACCTCAACTCGTGGGTGCTGCGGGTAACTTTTTCCACAGTGCCCGGGCCAACACGGTTGAGTGTCACTAGAGGTGCAATTATCTAGCGACAACGCGCCACGCTTCCGCAGGGGACAATGCCGACGCCTCGCAGATCGGAACCGAACCATGCGACTCTTTTCGAAGACCGGACGGCAGAGGCGCAGATTTTCCTGGAAAGTGCATAAAGGAAATTGGAATTCGTAATTGGCCACGCAGCGGTGCTCGCTTTCGCTTTGCTTTCGCTTTCGGAGCGCCAGGAGGCGCGCGAGAGCGAATTGCGAGGGGAATCGTTTCCGCGGAAAGCTCCGAGATGTTGGAAAGGAATCCAGAATCGCTTCTGCTTACAAACTAACCCTCTTGGTGGAGGGGAGCGTTCTTCGAGCGCGACCGTTTTCAAAAATGGCGCCGCGCGTCCTATTCAAATCGCCGGATATGTCGCGAACACTCTTGTTTCAAAAAGGGAAGTAAAATCTTCCTCACTTAACCGAAAGCGATCCGAGTTTTTGAGATTACTTTGGAGGAACGTCGAGTTAAAATTATCGTCCCCAACGCCGGTCATTCTCCTACATTTCTATCTTAATCTTTTCGGTGAAGAAGAGCGTTATCCGAAGGCGGCCGTTTTCAAAAATGGCGCCACGCCTCGAATTCAAGCGTCGGAAGTATCGGAATCCCCCTTGTTATCGCGAACCAAAGCCCTTTCCTTTTAACCGATAACGAATCGATGTATTAACATTACTTCGAGGGAACATCGAGTTAATATAATTTCCTTTCTTAAGACCAGCCGTCCTCGATGCGGCGTAATTGGCGTTCGATCGTTTCCGCGATCACGTAGGAACTGTTCGGGAAACAAAACGCGACTGTCCCGCTCCCAGCGTTGCGGGCGTTGTCACGTTCGTTGTCGCGTTTGTTGTCACGTTCGCTGTCACGTTCGCTGTCACGTTCGCCGACCGATTTCCCTATTCGGCGCTCGAGTCAGGTTCCAAGAGACCGTCGATGGCGGGCCGCGGCCATTTCTCAGTGAAACGGTTCGTTTCCGGTGGGTTCCTATCGCCGTTGAAAACCCGATCTAAACGGACCTTCGAAGAAATTGGCCAACATCCTCGTCGTAAGAAATCCCGCGTACACGGCGAGAAAATGATTCGCCATAAGAAGGAGGACTTCGGATCCCGCTCTCTCTATAACGAGTCCTCCGAGAAAATGCGAGGCTTTACAGATAGAGTAACGCCAATGGGAACCGCAATTGTTTAGTACCTCGACTCACCCACGCGTGCCTCGGTACTCCCGGCTCGCGCGTAGTTAATGCGAATTACCGTTTACCACGGAGCTCTTAAGGTGAAGTGAAACTCCCTTCAAATCAGTCGATTTGAATACAATGCTTTTTTTTAAGGGCATTAGACCAAACTGACCGAAATTTTGACACATCACTCCTGATCATCTAAGAATTGTCCTGACACGTTCAAAATGTGGATTTTTGGACAAAATTATTTAACTCAGCCCAGACCAGAACCAAAATGGCGTCGAGCTCTCATATTTCGATCGATATACAATTATCGAAGGCTCTGATATGAGAAACGAAAGGGTCAGGACAATTTGACGACAACTTAGAACACTTTGGTAATCGATAAACTCGCATTTGAACGGGATAAAGGCAAAAAAAGTGTTTTATGCGCTTCTATGCTAAAACGATGGGAATACGAGGTCTCGGAGTGAAAATTTAATTGACCTGGAAATCGCAGATGGCGCAGGGGGTCCCTCTGCAGTCAATTAGGGCCGCAGAAAGCACGAATCCAGAGGATTTCTGAAGTTTTACTTCGATTTCTTTATAATTATTGTACGAAAACGACAGGTGGAGTATGCCATTTGGTACAATACCCAATATAATTCGACACAGCTGTCAATATAAAAACGAACGTTGGCAACGTAGGCATTTAGAAAAATATTATTTTTCGACGTCAATCAAGTTCCTCGACGCGGTTAACTTCACCTTAAGCCTTTCCTCTTATTAATTTGAGCATCGGCGAACGGGGTCGTGCACATCGGTCGCGATTACGCGTCCTCACGAGTCGGGTACGTGTCGCAATTCCGGTCGGCGCGTCACGCGTCGGTTTTCGCACCTCGCGATTACGATTACGCGCGACCGCTAGAAGTACGTGTCAGAATTTGCGTGAGCTCGGGTGTACGGTATAACGTAATTCGCCGGGAAGTACGCAAGGCATCTACGCGGGCTTAACGCCGGGACCCGAATCTTCGACCCGACTTCTGGTTCGTCAATTAATTACGCCGTGCGGCCATTTTGCGGCGGCCCGAGTGCCCTCGAAAAACGGCGAGGAATGTCGAAAGGAAAAGGACGCCGATTGAAAGGGAACCACGAGTCTCCTTTTCAACGGTCCGGATGACACTCTTTTATTTATCTGGATCCATGAGTTCGCCGTTAACGACCGTTCCTCGACCTCGGCACGAGGGCGCGGCTGGAGAAGGAACTCTCTTAATTCCAAGGGATACGTCGCAGTTCCGAAGTGCGGAAAGAGACGCAATAAGTGCGTGGCGAGCGCGTAGGAGAGTCGATGGTTCTTCAGGCGGCGAGCAACTGTCGCGGTTGCCCGCGGTTGCCCCCTCGGTGCGTGCCAGGAGGGACGTGGGGCGTCGTCGGCGTCGCTGGCGTCGCGCGGCCGCAGGGTCGGAGGGTCGGCACCGCGGCATCGTCCGTCAGTCGTCGGCGGACCGCCGCGCGAGCCGGTCGATCGCGCTGGAGAGGTTAGGTCTTCCTTCGCGGCACCGATTGGAGCCGCGAGATCGTTGCATGCAATCTCGAGATCCGATGCGAACGATCTTCCTTTCTTTTTTTTTTCTTCTTTTTGTCAGACTTTCTAGGAGTCGCGGAAAATCGGCTCGCGGGAAAGTCGGAGTAAGATAAGCTACGCGGTTGATCGCGGAGTTGGGGGGTCGAATGCGAGATATGAGAAAGATTCGATCGCGATCGGCGATCTCGATCGCGAGGAACTCGAGCTGAAACATGCCGTGGATCAAGTGCCTGGGCGGCGGCGGGGGCGGGAAGACCAGGAGGACCGGGAAGCCGCTCACCGTCAGTCAGCCGGTTCATCTGCTCGTCAAAGTACGTAGACAAGCGCCAGGACTTACGGTTGTATTCCTAGAGACGCCGTTGCCTTAAAAATGCATTAAAAGGAACGCTCGTTAGCGAAGAGGCGCAGAGGCCGCGTCGCGAAGTCGACTCGCTTGGCCGAGTTTCGCGCCAAATCCATTCCGCGCGCAAGACCGGGTTTCTATACTTGAACCTTCCAGAGTAGGGAGGTGTTTTATGAAGATTTCCTTGTACAGTTGGATGAAACATGGGTGTTTATACCTTCCCCAGAGGCTTGTTGACTTGCCGTTGCCGG